GTATTATTAATCTAATAATATTAATGTAAAACATTATACAGGGAAGATTTCACGCCAAAATTCAGATATATAACTCCTAGTCAGGCTGCAGACTTATACGTAATAAAATGCAGTTTATTAAATGTAGTTTCATATCTTCACACTGTGTGTGTGTGTTTTTGTGTGCGTGTGTTTGTGTTTGTGTGTATGTTTGCGTGTGTATGTGCGTGTCTGTGTGTGCAAGATATATAAGTAAATACATATATTAAAAATTATTTGAAAGCGAAAAGTACTAAAATAATATTACTGCATAGGTTTACCGTTAAAAAGATCTTTTTTTTTTCTTGTTAGGGTTGGGAAATGTAGAAAAAACTGCAGAATGATAACTTATAAAAAAGATAGCAACAAATCTTGTTCAATTCTTTCTTTCTTTCTTTCTTTTTTTCTTTCTTTCTTTCTTTCCTTCCTTCTTTCTTTCTTTCTTGCTTTATTTACTTATTTATTACTTTTTTTTTACTTTCGACATTTATTCATTTACTTATCTTCAATAAAATTATATTTGACAATCTTTTTTCTATTGCATGAAAGTATCAAATCATTTCAACAGGTAAATTCTTATAAAGAAGTTTGTATATAAGTAGTTTTTAATCTTTGATTTTTGTATTTAACATATTCGATTCCGAAAGCACATTTCTGGAAAAAAAAATTCAACACAACAAAGATTCGATTGATTGTTTTATTAAATAGATCAAATAGATTTACTTAAACTCTGATATAACTAAACACAAAAAGGAAAAAAATGTCCGTTAATTTATATTTTGATTTCAATCAATAATTAAAAGAAAACATTATACAAGAATTAACAGCTTATTTAGTATGTGAACATGAGAATAAAACACCAGAGCAAAATATGTCCTTAACTATTTTAATTTAAATCAATGATGATAAAAAATCTAATTATGAATTACTCATTTTATCTCTAAAATACGATTTCTTTTTTGCGCACGCGCGCGAATGTGTGTATCTCAATATGCATTTGTATTGTGTTTGTGAAGCTTAAAATGAATGCGTGTTATTAGGATATAGAATCCGAACAATTCTATATCCTACTAAAAATGGAAGACACCGACCTAGCAAAGACATTAACAGCTTGAATGCAACAAGATACACAGTTTTGTTTTTCATCCTGACCCGAAGACGCCATCTTAACACGAAGGCGAAACGCGTTGACATTGCAAAGGTTTTCCCTTCGTCTCATTTCAACACATAAAATTAACAGAAAGAACAATAACTATTTCACCATTTGCACATTTCAAAATGAATAATAAATATTATGAAAGATATAGATACAAAGCCATCGTCAGATAGATAGATAGATAGATAGATAGATAGATAGATAGATAGATAGATAGATAGATAATGAAAATACTAACAGATCGATAGAGACAGAAAGATAGGAAAATACTAACAGATAGATAGATAGATAGATAGATAGATAGATAGATAGATAGATAGATAGATATGAAAGCACTGACACAGATAGATAGATAGATAGATAGATAGATAGATAGATAGATAGATAGATAGATAGATAGATAGATATGAAAGCAGTGATGTGGATAGATAGATAAGCCGATTTTTCTTAAAATGATGTATAATTGGTTGATTTTTAGCTTCTCTGTATTAATTGATTATCTTATTTCAAAATAAATTAAATTTTAAAACTCTTTAATTGTAATTAATTGTTTGAATTAACCTTTAACTCTCTCCAGCGAGTATTACAATATATATTGTTAAATTCCCATTTATTCCAATTATTTTATAAACACGTTTTGTTGTGGTTCTTTCCAAAGATTTAAAGAAGGTACGCAAGTTAGAAAATTTGCTTTTAGAATTCATGTATTATGTATTTTTATATAATTGACAATTGTAATTGTCTACGCGCGCGTGTGATCTGCGTTTGGTGTGAGTATTATAGTCAGGGTTAGATAGGGGAGGTAGAATGAGAGAGGGACGGACACTTAAACAGAAAGAGAGGACTAGAGTAAGTGAAAGAAAAAGAGTGTGTGAGAGAGATAGAGAGAGAGATAGAGAGAGAGAGGGCGCGATTTGATAACGAATACTTTTGACACATTTTGTGAATGGATCCAGTCCGAGCGGCAGTTAGATAACATTTTTCCTTAAAGGTCACGTACGGGTAGACATTCACCGCGCTCGTACGTAGTCAGAAAGAAAAGAGTAAAAAAAACCTACATTTAAAACAAAAAACACACACACACACACACACACACACACACACACACACACACGCACACAAGCACGCACTCATACACATCTATCCATACATACGAACACACACACACACTAGCAAAATAAAAAAAAATCACTATTTTTTTGTTTCTTATCAAAACTTTAAAGAAAATTTATTTACCAAATAAAAGCAGAAAACTACATGTTTGATAAGGCGTTACATGCATATATATATATATATATATATATATATATATATATATATATATATATATATGGATGGATGTGTGTGTGTGTTCTAAATTTGCCATACATATGTGAATATGTACGTCTGCTGACAAATTCATTCATATTGGCGCCTCAGTGTGATGCAATGTTCAATAATCTGGCCCTATTTTACACTATTTATATCCGAACTATTGTCCTTATCTTTGTTCTTGTTATCACAACGTTTCGGTCGTATATCGATCTGGGTAACTTACAGGGAATTCTGAACTGGAGCCTTTATTTAATCTACGACGGCAGAACTGTTCTCGTTCCACTGCCTATGTCTTGGGATCTCGTCTAGTTCTTATTTTTCAAACTGCTCGCTCGTTCCCACTGAGCCCAATTATAGACGGCTTAGGCCAGGGATTGAACTCACAATCAATATGTCAACATATTCACAGCTTGCACATTCTATAACAGGCTAGGTCAAAGATCACGCCTTACTGCTGGTGCCATTGTAAGCTCGTACAACCTGTCATGTCTCAAGTGAAAAGAAGATGGAAAACGTCCTTGTTATTAAAATGATTACCAGTAATAAGAATGGATACTTTAAAATAATGACCGAATGATTTATTAAAATATTTGCAATTTGCTTATTAGGATAATAAATGCTATTAAATGTTAATAGTTTTGTTGATTACTGAATTAATAATACAATCACCGCCAATAAATGAAATTAACTTGTGTTAATTGAGTGAATCGTACTGATTGTATGAGAGAAATATATTACTGACAAAAGTCGACTCTTTTAATGATTCCGATTGTCTTTTATCTCAAGGCGTAGAAAAATAATACATTATATTCTTCAGATGGTGTTTCCTACGAATGGTAATAGTAATGTTCGTTTTATACGCATATATTGGGCACCAGAATGCTTCCTGTCTACTCTGGGTCATAGTAAGTTTCGGGCCTCCATGATATCAGACTATCTCTTTTATGGTTCCAACCGAGAGAGATCATTTCTAGACTAGCATTCTAGCATAGTTTTTGCCTGAATTGTAACAATATTGATATTTATTACATATAAAAATACAATTATGGCACAAGGCTAAAAAGGGGGAAAGAGGTTGAGGCTAATCTTCACTATCTTAATCCGATTAACGACCCATTCACTCGTTACAGTTTGCGCATTCACCACAAAAACTTGTCCGTCACCAATCAATCCTCCATGCAGAGATTTAAAATTTTAGTGATAATAAATATTTCGAATGTGATTTTCCTTCCAGGTCTTTTATTTAATTTAATGTGGAAAGTCTACATTTTGACTATGTCATTATTATTATTATGATATTTTTTAAAATTTCCTTTGATTTCTAGTGTGTACATATTTCTTTCCGGATCCCGCCCATAGACCTAAGGTTAGACATGGCATCATGACATTTTCCACTGACCAATTAAAAAAAAAAAAAAAAAAAAAAAAAAAAAGAGAATATGTGTGGGTTGTACTCGTGAAAACAATTTTTTTGTATTTCTTTAAGGCATGGGCTTCCAGGCATCCCTTCAATTAGTCTACTGGAATCTCTTCCAACCAATCCGAGGGCCCCAACTACAACAGGAATTTTTGATGGTCCCATGAGCCACATTTTTGAGATTTCGATTTCAGGGTCCTTGTATTTTGATAGTTTTTTGAAGATCTTCAAAGATACATTGCAGTCTGCAGGGACTGCCATATCAATAAGGGGGCGCTTTATTGTTTGTGGACTCTATTATTATTATTATTATTATTATTATTATTATTATTATTATTATCCTTTCTAGTTACATATCCTATCAATTTTAGTTTAATCAACATCGTCTAATTTGATTATTCTCCACGTTCTCTGGTTCAATAAGCAACTATTAATCGCCTGCGAGTGAGCTATTGTACAGTTGCTTTCATCCTTTAATCAGCGGCTCGGGATGAAATGCCGAAAAGCAGAAATCGAATTTCATTTGGGTTCGTTATATATATATATATATATATATATATATATACTTACGCGCGAATACGCTTGGGAAAGGTATGAATCCCTCTCTTTAACGCACCTATGGGTTAAATAGTAGAACTAATATCTTAAAAAATCATTGTTATTTTCAAAAAATTATTAGTTCAATATTCATTCGAAATTTTTTTTTTTTTACAATCCAGACTATTTTTCAGTTTAAAATAATCGGCAAAGAGTTGATGAGCCGTAAAAAGACAAATCAATCAATACATTCTTTATTGCTACCGATATATATATTACCTGATATACACCTATGTAAACACGCACACACATGTATGTGCATGTACGGGTAGGGGTAATGGATTGCGGCAGAAATCGAATTCCGTATGAGTTTGTTACTTTCGCACAAATATACATGGGAACGTTATGATTCTTTTCTTCCCCTCAGATATGGATTAAATAGTAGCGCAGACTGGACAATCTCGATGTGTCATTGACGAGTGGGTTGGACAATTACAAAAAGGTTCGTCTACGAAACTCTGGATTCGAGGTGTTGAATATAATATCAATAAGTTATCCTTGATGGAAGACACATTTTCTTTACAAAGATTTCTCGAATGCGCAGGCCGATAGGCGTAATAAACACTGCTTAATAAACAAAAATGGGGAGTATATTTCAAATAAGAAGTATCTACTATTAGTGATCTGCTAAATTATGTAAAATCTGTCCAATTGTTCTTTTTATCCGAGCGCTTTCGGCTATACATTTAGCCATTTTCAAGGTTGAAATATATTAACTTTTAACAAGAAATAGATTGTTGTATGTATGTATTTATATAATGTTTTCATTTTCAAAACATGGTCAAGATATTGTGTCCATGAAATTGGACAGTTTTTTTATAATTTAGCATCCGAAGAGGAAAAATCATTAGAACACATGAGAAATTGTAAAAAAAAAAAAACTAAATCAAAGCACCTAGTCTGTCGTATTCAATGATTGATATATATATATATATATATATATATATATATATATATATATATATATATATATATATATATATATATATGAGTGGGGTAAGAATAAGCAATTTTTATATACATAAAATATATACAAGAAGAATATAAAACTTTTCTGTACCAACGCTTTTGTTCTTTGGTGGAGTTTATCAAGGTAAATGTGTTTATCAGAAACGGGTTGGTAAATTTTTTTGTTTCCTTTTCTCTTTATTAATAATGTCTTTTTACAGATACATATTATTTATATCTGAATTTTTTTTGTACAGGAAACTATGTGAATCATACAAAGTTGAATCTGCGATTATTGTTTCATGCAATTATTCAAGTGAAGCCATGTTTTCGATCTACATTTGAAATATTTAAACATGTTATTGGACAAAAATATTATCTTTATATTTCTTCCTTCCTTTCTTTCTTTCTTTCTTTCTTTCTTTTTTTTTCTTCTTCTTTTTTTAATTTTTTATTTTATTTGTCTGGTATATTTTTTGCCTGAATTGAACGGAAATAATTTGAATAGCGCACTCGTATTTCAACGCCGATTCTCCGAACTTCTCAAATCAACCGACTCCTGAAATATATTTTTTTCTTTCTGTTTTTCCTTTCTTCAATACTTGCACTTTCTTAATTGAATAATTTATTCGTTTAAATGCCACTTATTTCTTTGTATATGATTACTCATTATTATGCATGAACACAATATCTACTCGTTATGTACTCATAATGTGTATTCATTATTGTGTACGAGTATATAATGAGTACTCATTATAATTATATAGAAGTAATTATTTTATGATTATCTTTATATATATATTTCTCAGAGTTTACCTGTAGAAAAAGACAATATTTATAAAAGTAAAAGACAATAGGAAAACTTTATTACTAGCCGACGTGTACTTTTTCAAGGCAAAAATGTTTTAATAACTTTAGATAACGTTTTAATAAAATGCTTTAATAAATTCATTTCGTTTTTGCTTAGAAAATGTCCACATTAGACGAAAAACGCCGGCTAGTAATACAGTTTTCATTTAACTTATATATATATTAACTTTATACATATATATATATATATATATATATATGTATATACTGAATCAATTGCAAGGTCTGATGCTAGGAAAGTTGGTTCATTGTGACGTGCTAGTCAATGTTTCTCGTCAGAATCTATCTTACACATTTATGAGTCTACCATTCGTCCATGCATTGAATATGGCTGCCACATCTGCTCTGGTGCTTCTGCTCTGTATTTAGAGATGTTTGATGAATGATAAAGAAGAATCTGAAATAATATCGGTTCTAACCTGGCATCCCAGTTTCAGGAACGAGACTTTACGAATTTAAGCGCAGTACTAAATTGGCAGCTAGGTTTCATTATATGATTTTCTAAGCGTAGCTTAGATGTAGCACAGGGCTGAAAGGTACCCAGTGAGGATCTCCCGTTGTAATAGTTTTAGCAAGACAATTGATAACCACGTCGAGGTGCCCCAGATTGGTCTCATCCTTGTACTGTTGAAATTGCTAGATATAACCGTAAATTCTATCCTAATAGTTTCTTCTCTCGCACTTCTTGATTCAGGTTTCTTGCTTTCCTGCAAATTTGATCTTCAACAATTTAAATGTAATGTCAATCGTTATCGTCTGTCTTTTTCATTCTTATTCTTTTATTGTTCTCTCTCTTTTGTATTTTTTTTATTCTCGTAATGTTTTTTTTTTTATTCTCGTAATGTTTTTTTTTTTATCCTCGTAATGTTTTTTTATTCTCGTAATGTTTTTTATTCTCGTAATGTTTTTTTTTTATTCTCGTAATGTTTTTCACATTCAGTAATCCTCCTTGTTTCTTGGTGGTTTTATTGCCTTGCTTGGAAGGATAATGAATTAAACAAATAGTATATAGAGAGAGAGTATATATAAAGAGTATATCGTTGATTACGTCTCTTTGGATATATGAGCGTAATTTGTGTTTTTTAAGAATTTTTTTTTTCATTTTATTTATTTTTATTTTATTATATTTAATACTTTATTATTTATGCGAGTTTATAAATGTTATCGGTGCGAAAACTGAACTCTGTGAACCGAGTATAAATTTCCTCTCAGTTCGTTGCGTTCGCTTTCACACAAATGCTCTCGAAAAAGGCATGGATCATTTTCTTCTACTGACCCAGTTAAGATCTACATAGTAGGATAGAGTCGGTTCTCTAGATTTGGGTGGCCACCAGTCTAGGCGAAGGAAAACTCTATTGCCACTCCACTATCTTTCACAAAAGGTCATGGCAATTCACAGATAATAAAGAAAAGGGAATTATGAAGAATCATGATTGATTTTATCCTGAACGAAAATGGCGTTCAAAATACAAGGTTTCACTTTACGATCGAAATTTTAAGCGTATATAAATGTATTTTTGTAAGTGTATTTTTGAGCATGTACATGTAAGTATATATTGCACACAGGTATATAAATTTATTTTGCACATCTTTATATAAGTGTATTTTTTTAAGTGTATTTTTGTACATGTACATATAAGTGTATTTTGCACATGCGTAAATAAATATGTTTTTGTAATTGTATTTTTGCGACTGTATTTTTGCATATGTGCATATGTCTTTCTGCACATGCCTATATAAGTGTATTTTCGTAAGTGTATTTTCGTAAGTGTATTTTCGTAAGTGTATTTTGGCACATACATACAAACAGTCGCATACATCCGACTCATAAAATAATACATTTTACAGTTAATGTTATTTACTAAAGTTTCTTAGTATATTTAAATGTGGATATATGTGTGCGCATGAATCCGTGTGATTGTGTATGTGTTTGTGAGAGAGAGAAATAGATAGATAGAGACCATGCTTGTCTTTGCAAGTGTTTGCATATATATTCTTTTTTGTATTTATTTATTTTTGGTGTGTGTATGTGTAAGTTTTGAAGATGTACACGCATGTGGACGTTGAGCGGTGAATATGTGTTTAAGTGTGCGCGTTTGCGTGTCTGTCTGTCAGTAATGAGTCATCGGAGACAATTTTTAAGCTGGAAAAGTCTGAAATTTTATTTACACGTGTCATTAAACGTACTAATAGTGACTTTAAGCACTTTCCATGCGCCAACGACCTTTACTTGTCGCGTAGAAATTTCAACGTATGAAACTGAGTGTGTATGTATTTATTTCTTTATATAAGTACCTCTCTCTCTCTCTCTCTATCTCTCTCTCTCTTTCTCTCTCACTCACTCTCTGTCTCTTTCTGCCCCTTTCTGTCTGTGTGTGATTATGGGTGAGTCTTTCTGCCGGTATAAGTTTGTGTTCTATGTGAATCTCTGTGAGTTTATATATATATATATATATATATATATATATATATATGAAGTGGGTACTGAGATGTTGTTGAAAAAAAATCATTCAAATGACAAAGAAATTGGCCAGATTTCAGGATGTGGGTCGAGCGGAGAATTGCTCAGCATCTCCTCCCTAGTGTACAATATAAGTTGTTTTTATGTATATGGGCCTACCTGCAGAAATTCTTCTTAAGTATTTCCTGAAATAAAAACTCAAAGAATTAAATAAAATTTAATTCTGTAGTGAGACAGATAAAAGCTTTTTTTATATATATATATATATATATATATATATATATATATATATATATATATATATATATAATGTATTGAGCAGTAATTATTCTTTTACATTTTTTTTTATCTTTTTTATTCATCAAAGAGAATTGACAAAGTACTGCGTGTAAGCTTTGGCTAAGCGTACGTCTATAATAGGGATTTGCTACTGACAGATGGATTTAGTTGGAAATGAGTCTCTAGCCATCAGATATATATATCTAGCGACGGTTTCTCCTGCTAAGGGGCATGCATACTGGAATCCGGGGGGGTCATTTTAGTATGATTTCTCTTAGTAAGATATGAGAAATCACGAGAAAAGATATTAAAATAGAACAGCCGATTGCATCTATCTATCTATCTATATCACATATATATATATATATATATATATATATATGAGACATGTTTCATTGAATAATTTAGGAAAATTTTGTCTACTTATTTTCAACTGGTTCCTTTGATATATACACACACACACACACACACACACACACACACACACACACACACACACACACACACACACACACACACACACACACACACACACACACACACACACGTCTGATATTAAGCACGTCGGATCTAACGACGCTGCATCGTAGGTGAACGCAGGTTCGAAACTTGCTCGGGAAGCATGTTCCCTTTCGTGAGATTTCTCGAATATTTAGGCTGATAGTCGAAAAATATATATATATATTGTTTAATAAATAAACGTAACGTCTACCCCACTATTGGTATCCACTTAAAACAACTTTTAAAGGATAACATATATATATATATTATTTCTTAAACGCATTTAAGATTTTAGGTGGCAGAGACGCAAGCAATCGGAATGGAATGGAGTTCCAAGGGCAAGAACTGACAAGAAAAAAGTATTAGAATAGAACAGCCCTGTGTGTGTGTGTGTGTGTGTGTGTGTGTGTGTGTGTGTGTGTGTGTGTGTATTGCATTA